TCAGTAATTCCCTCTCAACTGGCTAACACTCTTGCCGACTCAGTAATTCCCTCTCAACTGGCTAACAGTCTTGCCGACTCAGTAATTCCCTCTCAACTGGCTAACAGTCTTGCCGACTCAGTAATTCCCTCTCAACTGGCTAACAGTCTTGCCGACTCAGTAATTCCCCTCTCTATCCTTACTTGATTTTTCATATGTGGTATAAATTATTTTCTACACACGAGGAACGTTCCACACTTTAAGACTACATCCATCATGTTATATTACTTTGTTTCATGGAAATATTTAGTAAGAAACATCTTGAGGACAAAATGTTCAACAAACCTGCTTCCAATGATCAGGGTCTTAAGATTATAAGGGAAAATAATAAATACTATAAGTCTGTACTTACGAAACTTTGTATGTATAAATGAAGAATCAGACTTTTTTTAAAATGATTAAAAAATGTAAGCTACAACTGTAATTTATCATGTTAAATGCTTTTATTCAAACATTGAAATACTTATGCTGTGGTTATATTTATTAATAGGTTTGTAGTAGTACATGTGACACTAGAGACTAGTACTGTGTGCTGTGACTGCACATAATCATATTCATTTGTAGGCACCTTCACAGCTATTGAATTAAAATGAAACCAGTCATAGTTGAGTAAAAACCCATCTAAGAATACACGAACAACCAACAACATGGTTGTTAAGCACAAAGCTACAATAGCATGAGGAGTGATAATAGAGATGGTATATAAAAAAATATTTTCTGTGGGACTAGATAAACCTCAGACTAAATATTGGATATTTTAAACCTTATGTGCACGGTTTTGTCAAGCATATGACAATATTTTACAGAGTTGCATTCAAAATTGAATTATCTAACTTTATTATCAGTAAACTTAGCTTAAAGTTGAATTATAAAACACAGTTTATAATTCAACTTTTAAAACTATATAAGATTTAATTTCAAAAGGAAACAATTAAATATATTCTTAGTTTTCACATGTCTGTATCATGTGATGCTCCAAATTGCCCATTTTAGGTTTCCTTTGTACTGAGAATATATACACTAGAGTGAAACTCTTATGCCACACCCCTTCTTTCACATCCTGTCTTTCATAACATTGCACTAATTCACTCTGACATTTGCTGTTGGATTATTTACGAATAGTAGAAAGAAAACATTTTAATTTACTGAATCTCCATAAGGCTAGAATAATTCAATTAATAGGTTTTCAAAAATCAAGTCTTAGTGTTTCCCACTAGTTAGAAAGCCACTTAAATTATATTAGTTTTAAGGCATTGTACTTTTTTGTGTTTGATAATATTTTGTATTCTAAAATGCTTGTTTGAATTTTAAAAATATATCACTTGTAAAGCAATGCAAGCAGTAAAAAAAAAAGGCTTAGTGGGCCTTGGGCATTGACCGCATAAAAATATTTAAAAACTAAAGTTTGTTCTTTTAGGAAAA